ACCCTAAACCCTAACCCCTAAGGTATATTCCTTATTCCTAAATCCTATATAAACCCTAAACCCTTATAGACCCCTTTAAAGGGCCCCTATAATTTAAGGTATATTCCTACCCTATATAAACCCTAAACCCTTATAGATCCCTTTAAGGGCCCCTAAAATTTAAGGTATATTCCTTAATTTAGAGGGGTATTGGGCTCTCTGAGCAGTGGATTTATAGAACCCTAAACCCTAAACCCTAAGGCCCCTAAGGAGAGCCCAGTGGAGAGCTTCGGCCTCCACTGCGCCGGGCGAGGGAGCTGGGGCTTCGGCTGCTGCCTGCGAGAGCTCAACTTCCAGGTGAAGGGCTGAGGATGCTTCAAGGGGTTTAGGGTTTAGGGCTCAGGGTTTAGGGTTTAGGGTTTAAGGTTTAGGGTTTAGGGTTTAGGGTTTAAGGTTTAGGGTTTAGGGTTTTGGGTTTTGGGTTTTAGGGTGTAGGGTTTAGGGTTTCGGGATGTAGTAGAGTTGGGGTTTTCCGGCTTCGCGGTTGTAGTCATGGTCTAGGGTCATGGTCTGTGTCATAACGATACCAGTGACAGTGTAACAATAACAATAAGAATCATCAGTTATCTTACTTGTAATTACATAATATATCCTGGATTCAGCAAATCATTGCAGGGTTTTCCGGGTTCCAAAGTTCGTCTTGCGAGGACTGCAGAAGCTTTACCGGCTCAGAGGCGTAGAGCTTCAGCTATTCGGAAACTTCGGGTTCTGGTTCCTGTGTCGCGTTGTGCTTGTTGAAATCCGGTTCTAATCTAAGGTTCTCCTAAACCAAAGGCCGCAACAAAGGCCGCAACGGCCAAGGTTGCAAGCAACGGCCGTAGATTTTGACCCCTCTGAATTTAAGTACAGGCGTTTTGAGCACATGCTAATGGGCCGGGGTTTTGATACTTCTGCCTTGAATGGTAGGGATCTTCGGCTTTCGGCCTCGGGACTAACCTTCGGTGCAAAATCGAAGTGGTCATGGCTCGGAGGGCTTCTGGGAGTTGCAGGTTCAGGCTCCAAGAGATGGGTTTAGGGTTTTTGGTTTAGGGTTCAAGAGATGGGTTTTCGTGCCAAGTGTGCGGGGCCAAGTCTTTTTGAGCTTTGACTTGCATCTTCCTGGGTCGCCATTCAGGCGTCGGTGCTGTCTGAGGGCCGAAGCTCTGGCCTCACTCATGTGAAGCAACTCGAGCCCCGGTGACCGAAGTTATGCCGAAACGGAACCCTGCACCATGCGGCCCACACTCCAAATCCTCAGCCTTCACCCTTGAACCCTTCGCCCTAAGGCCCATAGAGCCGCATAAAATCATAAAGTCCGACATCGCCTACGAGAAAATCCCCTCAAACCGCGTAGAAAGCCGCTAACAAGGCTCGAACCCCCCAGTTCTGCATTTGCAGCAAAAGCCAGACAAATACACTTTAATCCTTCAGGGCAAAAACCTTAGAGTTTTTACTGCGAGTAAGGAACATACTTCAAATTATGCAGGGTTTTGTTTTATCAGGATGTCGGGGGTGATTGTAGTTTAAAGGCCTCGGGTTCGCACTGCGAGTACCACTCGTTGTTCATCACACACTTGCCACCTGGGCTGAGAAGCTTCGTGGGTTTTTGGGGTTACAGGTTTAGGGTGCTTCAGAACTTCGGGCTACCACCAAACTGCCAAGAACACTGTCGGGAACACAAAAAAGTAATGCCCTAAATCCTCACCCGTGATGAACCACTGAACGAGAATGAACACGTCTTCAAAACTTTGAAGATGTTGGATCCATCTGAACCCCACCGAAACCGTAATCTCAGCTCGTCAGCGACTTCAATCTATACAAATGCCGCTCGGCCTGAGTTTGCTTGACCTCGTTGCTGATTGGTTTTGGCCGCGACCTACTTATCTCCTGAACTTGGGGATTAAAGGCTAACCTGCAGGGAAAGGACCGGCGTGGTCAAAACAGCCGAGAACAACTAAACCAACATCCATTGCTGCAGCTTATGCTTCCCGGACTGTCCGATTTGGACAGGAGGTTGACAAAAGTAGGGGCCTCCCCAAGCATCCACGATTCCCCCCACAGACTCCAATATTCCTTAATTAAGGAATATTCCTTAAATTACAGTAGGATCCTTCATATGATTTAAGGTATACTCCTCAATTAAGGGACATTGGAGTCTCTGGGCCCTGGAGACCCTAAACCCTAAAGATCCTGACCCGGTTTAGGGTTTAGGGTTTAGGGTTTAGGGTTTAGGGTGTGGTAACTTTGGCCAGGTTGCCATCTGGGCAGTCGGTTGGCCCCTGCGCAGCAAGAACAGATCCACAGCGGCTTTTTACTCTTTCATTGTACTGTCAGCTCTTCATGCTTATATACACTTATGCACTAAACCCTAAACCCTGAAGCCTAAACCCTAAAACCCTAAACCGGTTTAGGGCTGCTGGGCTTCAGAGGCGACCGACTCCAGGCGAAGTAAGAAGCCTGTTGCAAAAAGGGATTCCGAACTCATTAGACCTTGCACCTGTAACCTGATTGGCTCGGGTCCTGGGTAATCTTTCATAGACGAAACAAGAGAACTCTTTTGCCCGCCTTCCACTTGGCTCCGCCGCATTGGCCTTTGAGCGGCAGATCTTGATACGAAGGCTCCGGGTTCAGTTCGGTTGTGGGTTCGCGGTTAGGGGATGGATGGTCTTGAAATATATCTGCCATTGAAACTTCTATCAACTAATTCGCAAAACATCTGTCGCTAAATCATAACACACGTACCGCCCACATGCAGGACACTTGGGAAATCGGTGGCATGGTTCACTTCACTTGACTTCGGGCGATCTCTGCTGACCCCATCGCAACTGGGACCCATCCAAGCAGCCGTACATCTTCGCGACCGGGGCTTTCTTTTGCAAGGCGTGTCGCTGCAGCGCATTCCTTGTGAATGCCGCCGGTGCTGTTGGAAGTTGTCATCTTCATGCGTGCTCTCGTGCGGAAATGAAACCCTAAAACCTAAAACCCTAAAACCCTTCGGTGCTGCTTCGGCTCAGAGCGCATTCTTGGTTGGCTGCACACTCGCTGTCCTCGGTTGCGGGCGTTAAGTGCACGGCCTGCCTCCGAGTGTGAAACCTCAAAACCCTCACACCTGTCGCAAATCGCCGGACGTATTGGGATTGTGTGCAGCCTCAAAACCCTCACACTTGTCTGAAACCGCCGGACGTATTGGGATTGCAGTTCCTAGCTACAGGCCGCATCAGCATTGCTCCAGTAGGAACTCTCTCAAACGGTTGCGTCGGAACCTGATACACGTACGCGTATGTGTGCATTCTCTGTGTGTGTGTGTGCCTGTGAGTGTTGGCATGTGCACATATGGAATGATCCATGCCAACATTCGGCACTGGATCACCGCTCTCGCGAAACACGTGGGGCATGCGATGCAATGCGCTTCAATGCGTGCTGTGTCTCCTCCACCAGCAACTCTGGGACTTGGTCCGCACCTGCAGCTGGGAATAGCTATCCGTTTACCGTTATAGAGTCTGGGTTCTGCCCTAAGCGGCAAACTCGAACTGTCCAACTTGCAACTCCTAGCTCGAACTCTACAGCCCCTCCCAAGCCTGTTTACCTTAAGCAGCCCTGACCCTGTAAGCAACAACGCCTAAACCCTCCATCCTAACACCCTCAACTACGAAACACTGCAAGTCCTCCGAATTCTGCAAATCGCAACCGGTACACCCCCTACCTAAAAACCCTTAAGCCCAGTGTAATTGCACTCTAAAGCCTTCGAGCCCTAAGCACTGCAAGAACTTCTCGACGTTGGCCTGTGGTGGCCAAAAGAGATCCGAGGCAAAAACCTGGCTGACCGGTTCCGAGGAAAGCCGTGCGCTTTCGTGAATATCTTATCATTGATACTTACACGCCTTTTCTCACCTGGAAGGATTCAAGAAACATGTATTTGTTAGATTATTCTATGTGATTGCAAGTGCAAGTCTGAAACCTGGGAGCTCATCGTTTCATGCCGACCGTAGCACTGTCACTATTGCAGGGTTCCCATGGTGATGCTCGTTGCCCTAGTTTTTCTCGGGAGCTTGGCAACAGCATCGTTAATTGTTATTGCCTGCAAGAACTCCACGCCTTGGATCAGTCGTCGCACCATCGTGCCAAACGCTTTTCACGTGAAACACTTTCACGTAAATGAAGAGCCAAAAGGTATCTGCGGAATCAAAACCCGCGCATGCTCCAGTCTATTGTGTAAAAGCGAAGTAAATGCTTGGGTTCATCATACAAATGCTGATTTCAATAATAAATTCATTAATTTATCATAATACTGCCGCTTAACAACGTTGCAATTCGGTGTCGACCTGAAGGAAACATGCCGTTGCTCGGCCCTCTGCGGCATCCACAAGCAAGGTTCGGGTGGGTTTAGGGTTTCAGCTGCAGTTGCTAAACCCATCGCTGCAAAAGCTCCTTTCAATTAATTGTCCGCCCCGCCCCCCCCCTCCCCTCCTACCTGCCCGTTTCACAGGACTGCATGCATGCGTCAAACTGTACAGCTACTGCGTTGTCGGATTCACATCTGAACCCGCTCGGCTTTTGTTGCCGAAGCTATAGATATCTCCGCGTCCGGAGGTGCGTGGTGCATGTGAAACACGATGCTTGCAAGCAGTCAGCCGATGCTCAGCTTGCTGCAGAAAATGCAAAGGCTTCACTCCAGCCCGGTGCTTTTCGAGCCGAAGAGGGTCGGTGTGGAGTCGTAGCCTTTGGCCATTCCGGTTGGCCTGCAAACCTCGGCGCAGTATTGTATCCACCATGCCCCTCCAAAACCACGGAGGATGGAGTTGCTCCTAGGGTTCTCATAAAACGGACGAACTTTGAACGTGCAGCCAACAAGCCATGGAGAAGGCTGCTGCGAGCAAAGCCAGAGCCACCACCAGCGTCAGGGCAACGGACATCGTCATGGAAAAGCCTGGTGGCCGGGCCCGGAGACCCTGTGCGACGCTCTGGTGTGCCTTTGACCTGACCTTGGCTTGGCAAGACCTTCAAGCCCGAAACGGAGGCCCGAATCAGATTCAGTATGAGTCTGGAATAACCTGAAGTACCCAGCTTCCTTGCCTTGAGTTTCCACCCGAGAGCTGAGCATGTGGGCCAATGCCTTGGTCAGAATTTACCAGCTGGTTGTCAGTATTGAGCTCTTATTACCTTTTTTTGGAACTACTTGAGAGTATCCTGAAAAAAACACTACCATACTTGGTCCTACGGCGACGACGACTATGTCGACAAGGAGTACTGCTACTGCTACTCAGCTACTCGTATTACTGCCACCAACATGTATCCCTCGATTTTTAATGGCATGACGCATTTCTTGGGTTGCGAAAGGTAGGTCGGCCAAAGCATGGAACGGCGCAACAAAGCTTTCAGGCTTTGATGGTTTTTCCAGAGCTTTATTCGGGCTTTATCAGGGCTTTGTAATGGTTCTATAGGGCCTTATTATCACCGGATTTGACTTAGAGCAGACATCGAAATCAGAAACAAACTCCTAAATTTGCTGTTTCCTAAACCCACCAAAGATGGTGGGCCGTGTAGAAAGCCCAAAAACCCGAACCAGCCCAAAGCCGCAAGGGCAAATCGAAACGAGTCGCTGCTCCCAAGGCCCAGTCGATGTCACCTCGCATGAAGGGAGCTAAGTGATAGTTTGTTTTTTCTTTTGGTGGGTGGTGTTGGGGGGGCAGGCTACAGGGCTTGCAAAGGAGTCTCAGGACCGGGGTGGGGGGGGGGCAGCAAGTAGCAAGACCGCGATAGCTAGAATGCTAGAAAGTCACCCTCGGGACCCAACAAGTATCAGCTTAATGTAGGCGCCTTAACAATTACAACCGGGTTTTGGGATACCTTATGATACAAACATGATGGGAACCCTCAGAAATAATATTCGGAGTTATCCAGGCTTTTATATTACTTTCTTACCCGAGACCTCTGGGGTCCAAGTTCGAGGCTTAGCTTCCCAAGCACGACGGTCAACCCATAAATTCCCAGAGACTCCAATATTCCTTAATTAAGGAATATTCCTTAAATTATAGTAGGATCCTTAATATAATTTAAGGAATATTCCTTAATCAAGGGAATATTGGAGTCTCTAGGTTCGGGGATCTTCGAGAAACGGGTTTCGGCTCTCACACTCGGAGAATCCAGGCGAGGCTTGTGGTCATACGGTTTAGGGTTTTAGGGTTTAGGGTTTAGGGTTTTAGGGTTTAGGGTTTTAGGGTTTAGGGTTTAGGGTTTTAGGGTTTTAGGGTTTAGGGTTTAGGGTTTAGGGTTTAGTCGGCAAAGTGAAACAAACCAGGTGTGATCGAAGCCGGGATAAAGACACTGCGAGCAATAGTAGGGCCCTGCTGAGAGGAATTCCGGGCTTCCTATGTCCAACCTCCGACATATACAGAATGCCCTAGTTCAGGATGTTGGGCCAACTCATATTAATGGTTTAGGGTTTCTGGGATCCTTGAGGGAGGAGCCCCAAGGGAGGTATATGATGTAGTAATCCCTACCCCCCTTCAGGATCTTCATAACTAAACCTCAGGCAAAAACTCGCCCACCCAGCAATACAAACCCCCTCACACTTGATTTAGGGCTTACAAACCACGAAATCCAAACTGCCAAAAGCCCGAAACCCAAAAGCCCTAAACCAAACCTACGGACAGCATGGAAACTAAACCTCGGACGTCAATGGGGCTCTTGTTAAGGAGTTTTCATCACCGAGGTTCTGAAAGGATATAGAAGTGTTCTTATAACCTTGTTATATTGTAACTATATAAAGTAGATCCAAGCTAAGTTTCTGAATAAGTGCCCAGTCAATTTTTCCATGGCCTCCGTTAATCTTCCGCTGGACCTCGACCTCGATACCTGCCATGAATTTCAGGTCTTCCAGGTCTAGGGCCTACCGGGGGATGCAAGGGGATTCTGTGTTTGAGGGGTTGGGTCTAGAGTCTAGGGCGCTCGGGCTGAGATATTCGGGATCAAAGGCTTTCTTCAGGGTTGGGCTGCTGCTGGATTTCAAGTTTCACGCGTCAGAAACCAAACGACCAGAAGCCAGCAGCTAGCATGGAAGCCAGTCGGCAGTGCCAATAACACAACTCTAACGAGGAAAGGTTGCAAAACCCTGCAGCATCCCCCCCCATAGTTGACTGCCGTTGTTTCTATCATCGTCTGCATAGTCAAAGGGACACGGATGCTGCAGGATTGTGCACATCAGCAGGGTGTCCCGCCAAGTGCATCAGTTCACGGGTCCTAGCGTTCGCCTTGTTGCAGCCGGTTTGGCTCTGAAACTTAGTATGAGGGTTTAGGTGCCCATTGTATGGAACGCTGGGCGAAGGACCAGGTTGCTTGCCCATGGGGACAGGATGCCAACAAACCGTACCTTGTGATGCAACATCTCGACTCAAATGCCAATTGCACTCTAAGCCAAAGCGAATGCTCTGATACGCCGCTATTTGACCAAACAAAGTCATTGACACATCCTCAGGGAACTCCGCACAGAGTCCTCGACCATCCAAACCGTAAAGCCGTAGTTAAGTAAGAATGCACGAGAACATCCAAAAACAAGTGCCGAAATCCGATGCCGAATCACGCAAGACCCCGTATCCATCAATCACAAATGCCACAACCCACTGCTAGGCATAAAGCGAAACCAGACATTCAAGAGGCATGCCGTGCCTGGAACATCGACTGCTCCCAAGGCTCCAAGAAATGCTAACCTGTCTCGCTTGCAAATATTTCGAGGACTATTATGCTGATTATGATTGCGGTTGTGGCCATTATTACTACTATTTTATGGTTGTTGTTCTTCTCGTTACTGTATATCTTGTTATATCAAGACTTTATGTTTTTCGCCAGTCTTTGTCCAAACTCTCTCGCTTGCATTCTCGGGCGGTTCCTTTTTCCTGCATGTTTCGTATTGGCGGTTTGAGTGCTATCTTTGCGAAGACCGGCGCTTGAGGTTCCGGGATGTGTTGGCGCGAAGGGCTTAGTTACTTGGGGCTTTATTTTTTCCAGGCTTAGAGTGCTACTGCTAGGGTTCTACGGAGATCTCTGAGTAGAACAGGGTGCGCACCACTAGCACGTGTAGGCTCAGTGGCCACCGTACTGCACAGAAGGTTGAAGGGTCAGGATGTATCGAAGCCTTTGGAGTGGCTTCCAACACTTCGCGGAAACTTGCAGAAATGACCACTGATAGCTGGCTGTGAGAATGTTGGCCTCAAGGCGAAACCAGCAAAACAGGCTCAGGAGAGTCTTGCCAACAAAAATGTTCTAGAAAGGCATGAGAGCCGATGCCAAAACTTGTCAACCCTAAGGGATCTGGTTCCCGACTAAGAGTCCTCAAAGGGGCCATGCCATGATCCCCACCATATGGGTGGTTGTCAAAATTAGGGTCCCTTTTGGGGTACCCTAAATAATAGGTGCCGTATTATAATAAGGACCCAAAAAGGGACCATCATTTTGACAACCACCCATATAGAATCCTATCCGTTGTGCTTCGTCTAGTCCAAACGATGATCGCGACACGTGATTTCACCAACCCTCAGGTGCCCCATGCAAAGAGCCATCTAGCAAGAAGGAGATGTTAAACCTAAGCCCTAAATCTTAAACCCTAACCCCTAAATTTAAGCTGAACCAAAAATCCATACACCATGAAGCCCTTGGACATGACCCGCAGAGCCCAATGTCCATGCTGTAAGACATGTGCCCTCGCATAATGTTACAGACACATCTCGAATTTGTAAGCACTTGTCCTTTTTTTTGAAGGGTATGTGGCTTTCTGAGTACAACCGCAGAGCCCACTTAATTTAAACAAAAATGTCGGGGTCCCGGCTGATACGAAAGTGCGAAGCAGGCGCGGTCTGCCGGCGAGTCCGTGACACTCAGGCCGCAGACTTCCTGAGGTCTTCGCTTGCACTTTGGGGTTTAAAGCCCTCCAGATTCTTTTTGCAGGAGACCTTTTCCAGTCCTCAACCTGTAAGCCCTAAGCCCCCCAGTCTTGTGGTTTGCTCCGTAAACACTCCTACCGCGCTCACTGTTTAGGTCCCCGAAGGAGAGCAGTAGACCAGCGCCGGAGCAGGAACCCTCTGGAGATGCCTTAACTCACATCGAGGAGTTTCGCATGATACTCGCGACCGGTGTGTTCAACAAAAATGGCAATGTGCAGTCCTGTGCGCAAAAAATGGGATTCCCTGCGTCCAACAAACATGGCAATGTGCAGCCTTGTGTGCAGAAAAGTAGGGTTCTTGAGAAACTCCAAAGCCTGAACCAAAAAGTCCTACACCCCAGTACATTTTAGAAAGACTTGGACACCCCGAAAGAGAAAGCCCTAAGCCCATAAGGTTGTCTGCCTTGGCTTCCGCTTCCGTGGGGCAAACGCCTTCCTGGCAACGGTGTGCCACTGTCGGCCGTTCGAACGGCGATTTCAGGGTCCTATAAGGGCCCCTCAACCCTAAACCCCTATAAGGCAAAGGGCTTAGGGTTAAGACTTCATCCGGTTCTGTTTCAGCGGGGGTTACAGGTTCGGTGAACGTGGTTTCGGTGCTGACACTCCAGGTGAGGCAGGGCTGGTTTGATACAGGGGCCTCAATACAATCATTACCTCTACTGTTTTGGGGGTTCCTTTTTATACTTATAGTATACTATAGATACTATAAGGGGTTCCTTTTTGTAGTTATAGTATACTATAAGTACTATATACCAAAACCCTAGTCTAACTATTTAAGGCCCCTACAGTAGAGTTCTGTAAAGCGTTGACGGCTCCGGGGCTGACATGGTTCGTGTCTGCGGGTCCGGGAACTACAGAAACCCTAAACCCTAAACCCCTAAACCCTAAACCCAAATATGTACACAGACGGACAGACGGAAACTTTTTCTGGGGCTTCCCGGTTTGGATGCAACCATCATTGAGAGAGTTCGGGGAAGCACACATGTCTACTTGGAGGATCATGGGACTTAGTAAGTATGGTTATAAGTCCCCTAATCGGGGTTATAAGTATAGTTACCTTAGTTATAACCCTAGTTACTAAGTCCCATGATCCTGTAAGTAGAGTTTCCAGGGGTACAGGTTCGGGGAGGCTTTACAGGCATACATACTCAGACCCGTGATACCCACTCGCAGGCAGTAGCCGCATTCCGCTTGGAACCGGAAGTTGCAGCATCGCCACGCCTTGTTTGGAAGCTTCAAGTCATTCCGCACGTAATAGAAGTTCTCCTCAGATCAGCCCAGAGAACCCAATACACCTTAATTAAGGAATATACCTAAAATTATGGGGGCCTTAGTAGTATGATTTAAGGTATATTCCTTAATTAAGGGGTATTGGGTTCTCTAGGAGATTCCAGGACATTCTCGGCGAATCCCATTCACACAGACAGGATGTAACATGGACTGACAGGAGGTTGATGAACCTTTTGTGTGACACCAAAACACGTAATTGCCCAAAGGATCCCTGGCTGCTTATTGCAACCTACTGATATTCTTGTAAGTGCTCAAGGAACAGGGACCCCACATGTTGAAATCACATGCCCAATCTTATAAAAGCTGCACAAAGCTAGAGCACCGTTAGGAACAAACCAGCAACTACAAACAAACCGAGTTGACTCGAACTACACTGCAGGTAGCTTCGCCGCACTGCGAAAATCATGTCCAAAACCCTGATTTTAAACCCTAGGCCATAAACTCATAAACCCTAAGCCCTAAATCCTACACCCAAACCCTAAACTGACCAGTCTCTGTCGCTGCGAAGCGCCCTCGCACAGGCAGCTCATGCCTGGTCCACGGGAAGTGGTAAAGGGGCCCAAGGAATATATAGTAGAGCGTAGGGTCCATCCTGTTTATAAGCGACCTCTTGTAATTGGCCTGAGTGCCCGAAATCCCCACTCTGCCATGTTGACATCGATAAGCCACACGCCCATGCAAGCCGCAAGTCGACGGCAGAAGCTTGGCTGAACATTGCAGAGCTACCTGCCCTTAAGGAGGAAATAAACGCAACGAAGAAAAGAGCGAACTACAGATTCATTGAGGACCCGTGTCAACTTGAGGATGGCGCCCAGCCGCCACACATGGCTACTACGATCTGGCCAGGCAGCTCATAGCGTCCGGGAGCAGTCGTTTCCTCCACAATTTGGAATACAGAGAGAATGTGCGGGGTGCGCTGTTCTTGGCCCGATTTCTTGCCTCCCATCTCGTGAAAGCAAGCCATGGCGAAGCTCCGGGTTACGAACCTGATTAAAGGTCAACTCCCAACCAACAAATCTTGAGTCTTTCCTGTCCTGACCGAAAAGCAAACTCGCCCTTTCAATCTGAAGTGCCAGCATTCTCTCCTGAAAGAGAAGGGATCGAATGTTGGTCCGACATTGTGTTGAATCGCCGCTGCCTGGGCTTCTGCATGCGTGCACAGTTCAGAGCAGGTTGCATGCTCAAGCAGCCTGTCTAGAGTGAAGTCATATGTCAAAACGTCAAAACTCAAAGCACGGTTGCATCTTGGTTGTACCCGATGGTCTTCGCTCTGTCGTGTATCCGGAAATCCCAACAACCCTAATTAAGGACTGTTCCCTGGATCATAAAACGACTGCCTGGGCCTAGGTAGTCAGGCTTACCCAGCTCGTGGAAGACTGGCAGTCTTACGCTGGGACCAACCCAGCCACCGCCAACATTCCATGGGGTGTCGTGAGGATGGAAAGAGTCCCACCCTCCCAAAGAACAGCGAGGAACTCAACACCTACGAAGGAAAAACACAAACCAAAGAGCCCAATACCCCTTAATTAAGGAATATACCTAGGAGCCTTAATATTATGAGTTAAGCTATATTCCTTAATTAAGAGGTATTGGGCTCTCTGGGAAGCCAGCTACTCTAATTCAGGGCCGCCTAGCTGCCGGTTTGCCGGATTCCGCTCTTCACGCGCTCGTAGCCCACAGGGTAGCAGGGGTCGGAACCTGAGTCAAGGTTTAGGTTTAGGGGTTAAGGTTTCAAGACCCAGACTTTGCTGAGCTCTGACAGGGTTTAGGTTTTGGAACTCTAGGGGGCCTTTTCCCTCTCGCATGGCAGAGAACTCTGCTCACAGGCGAGGTTGTAGTCTTGGGGTTCAGGGTTTTCGGCTTTGGAAGCGAGCCTTCATAAAGGGCTAAGCTTAGCGTTATTCACTCTTTGGCCTTCGCGTGACAGGCATGCTTGGAAGGTCGCGAGCCACGAAAGCCACGAACAACGGCCGTCAGCGCGAATTGAAATACCATGCGCCAACACGGGCATTGCCGTCAACTCAAAACCTTCAACCGCAAACCATAAAGCTCTAAACTTCTGCGTGCAAATCCTTGTCAAACCTTCGTAGAAACCCGTAAGAAAAACCCTAAACTGGTCGGCGCCTCGAAACCATAAGCCCCTTTTTTTGAACCCATAAGCCCTAAACCCTAAGCCCTAAACCCTAAATACCCTCAGATCCAGGCTCTGGCTGCTGCCCATGGTGTCTTGCAGCTTCGACTGCGCGTAATCCTGGCCGAAGCCTTGGCTTAGGGTTTAGGGTTTAGGGGTTTGGGGTTTAGGGTTTAGGGGCCTTGGCTTCCCGACTTTACAGGGGAAGGGAATGGATTGATGTCAGCGCCTTAATAATTCGAATAGGGTTTCGGGGTATGTTATACTATAGTCTATAGTCATAAGAAGGAGCCCCGAAAACCCTATTCTAATCATTAAGGCCCCTATATTATCCGTAATTAACTCTCCCAACGCTAGAACCCGAAGACCAAAACCAGAAAGCCCCTCAAGCCCTGAACCTTAAAGCCATCCCCTGTGTTGGGAAATGGTCTCCTCGGAAGCGTGGTACCGGCACCTGCGCCCTTTGGGCTCCATGAGCTGTCCTGAGCTCCCTTTATCGTCCCAGGGGCCCCTGCAAAGTTGCAGGTCTATTCCTGAACCCAGGGGTAGCCAGAAAGGCATACATGAAGCGAGGAAAGGACAAGGTCTATTCGCCACCCTTTCAGCACGGACTGAGGTGCCGGCCAGCGGCCATGCAACCCTCACCCCGTACCACCCTAAACCCTAAACCCATAAACCCATAAATCCTAAACCCATAAACCCATAAACCCATAAACCCTAAACCCTCTAACGCTGTTGGATTCTCTGACACTTGCACGAAGAAGCCTGGCAGGATGACCGTCCTCCATAGTCGCTGGGATTTGCGGCTTTAAGCACTCAGTGTTTAGCTAGGTTTAGGGTTTAGGGTTTAGTTAGGGCCTTCGTGCCAGGGATTACGGTTAGGGCCGTTTAGCTGGAACTTGTACTTGGACCCCGTCTGCAGTAGCATGAATTCCCCTGCCTGGCACCAGACCTGCTTGGGACTTGGATGGGCCCCGAGACTCCAATATCCCTTAATTAAGGAATATACCTCAAATCATATTAAGGATCCTACTATAATTTAAGGAATATACCTCAAATCATATTAAGGATCCTACTATAATTTAAGGAATATTCCTTAATTGAGGAATATTGGAGTCTCTGGGGGCGTGGTTCTTTTCTCTTGCAGCTCAGAGTCCGAGGTAGCTGTGGGCATACAGGGAGTAGACCTGGTCATGTACGTCTACATACATTACATCACATCACATCACATTACAGTACATTACATTACATTACATTACATTACATTACATTGCATTACATTACATTACATTACATTACATTACATCACATTACATCACATTACATCACATTACATTACATTACATTACATTACATTACATTACATTACATTACATTACATTACATTACATCACATTTCATTACATTACATTACACGCAAATTAATATGCATGCACGTATATATATA